AACTAAGGTGAAAAATGCAAGCTGTTCTACAAGGGTCTATTTAAGCTACATGATTCCCCCCCCAAAATATCTCAAAATAACGAGTACATCAAATATAAGAAAGGAAAACCTACTTAACATACACTATACATTGATACTAGATTGCTTACTGCTTTCATTTTAGCCACACCCACCTTTATGTAATTGTAAAATATGGGAATGGTGCAGCTGAGGAATAAAAAGCTGAAAAGAACAGTTGTTTTATGTAGTCAAATATGTACTAAGCACAGATTTTAATTAAAATGAAAAATAGGAATAAATTGCATGCTGTTGAACATGACTGTCGTATAGTGGGGAAAAAAATGCATACGCACCTGTGCAATACTGAATTAAAGAATTTTATTTTCTAAATTAGCTATGAGTCAGGACAGTTATTTCCTTGAAAGTGAAAGTCAGTGTCTGTGAGTGCACTTCCACTGTTCAATAGTGTAAATCTCTTCAAATCGTGTTATTTCGAAGTATACACTGCTACAATGAAACAGCTTTGTGCACATTCCCATGCTAACTGTTAAAAACGTTTCTGAAAACACTCTGAAAGTAATGATGCAAATCTAAAGAAGCAAGTGATAAATTTCAATAGGATCTTAATAGTCTCGCAATTTCAGAGATTAAACTGAATTTTCTAGCTCTCGGGGCATAAAGGTATAAATTGCGGGGACAAACGAAGCAGCTATTCCCAGGAAAAAAAGGGACTGAAAAAGAGTAATTTGTGTACTGGATTAAAAGATTCCAGGGAAACTAAGGATTCGAGGCAGAAAAACCTCCTTAAACTGTTGTATTTCTGTGCTACACAGAAAATACCTTGAATCACAATCCAGTTGCCATGCTGGAAACGCTAAGTTTTGCATTTCACTTTAAGACTAGACGCTCTCAGCCATGTACACAGAAATCTTTTGTACAGCGCTTCTGCACCCCAACTCTTCTCTACGTCCCTCCTACGTTCTTCGGTTAACTCGTTATTTTCGGTGGCGAGGGTGCTAAGCGCAAGGCGGCCGGTTCTGGCTTTGAACGCCGCGGAGGGATGTGCGGGGG